TGTATCAGAACAGTACACACTTGGCGTTGATATAGACAAGTGGACACTCTTGCCTCGGGAAGGTAGTTAATATCATGAACGAGTCGTTAGGGTCTTCAGAGTATAGACTCTGTCTACCACAAAGCTTCTTTATGAAGTTATTTTGACTATTTGGTCAAAACAACTTTCAAAGAAAAAGCTGAAGGCAATTTTCCTCTTTGTGAAGTTATTTTGCGTATTTGGTCAAAAACAACTTTCAAACAAAATGGTCCAAGGCCATTTTCTTAATACCACACACCTTTAAACACAGGCTTTCTCTAACAATACATTTGTCGTTTTCTGATCTCGTAGTATTGGTGGGGCGGTTGGGTAGCCTAATGGTTAAAGCGTTGGTTCGTCACGCCGAAGACCCGGGTTCGAATCCCCTCATGGGTACATTGTGTAAAGCCCATTTCTGGTGTCCCCCGCCGTGATGTTGCTGGAATATTGCTAAAAGCGGCGTAAAACCAAACTCAGTCAGTCAGTCAGTCGTAGTATTGGTGCTTGCAGGTAATAATATTCCTACCAGGCTTGTCATCTTTAGAAGATCTGTCTGCTTGTACCCGCTGTTGTAAACTGATACCACTTACATTTGACGGAGTGTTGTTTGTTTGTTTGTTTGTTGTTTAACACCGCAGGATGTCACGCTCGGAGCACAGAGAAAACGTCCCTCGGACAATGGATCAGTGGATTTTTCTTTCCAAGATTCAAATGAGGCACTAGAAAGTTAACAGTAATATTACCGTCTTACCCTACCGGGTACCCATTCACTGCCGACTACAACGAGGAATATTTCGAAAAAGATCAATTGCCTATGGAGGAACATCATTGCCTGGAGCTGGACAGAGATGATAAATGCTTGGGGGTCAAGTTGTTGAACACGATCACTCATGGAAGGACCAATCTTTTCTTATTCGTTGATGTTTTACCACCCCAATGGCATAGGTTGCGGACGTGATTATTTACAGCTGAAATATTGGTGACGGCACGGCATTCCATCCCTTCAATTCCTTATATGGAGATGCACAATTACACAAGGTTTTACTCGGCAGTGAATGGGTACCCGGTAGGATAAGACGGCAATAAGACTGTTACCTTTCTAGTGCTTCACCTGAATCTGAGAAGGAAAATCCAATGACCCATTGCCCATTGTGTCTCTGCGTTCTGAGCGTGACTTCCAGCTTGGAATAAACACCAAACAAATATGTTATACAAACTGTTACACTACACTTGGTTACTATGACAGGCAGTAAACCAGATCGTCTGACCACCCGATCCCCAGACGATTCTTGTGACAAATATAGGATACTCGAACCTACATTCCCATATCTCTAGGAATCCCCGTGGGGGAGAAAGACACACACTAACAAGATTCCTGTTAGTTTGTAGTCTTCCTCAAGTAAAGGTAAAAATACATTTGTTCACAGAGCCACTGATCCAACTGCCCTGTTGCACATCTCTGGATCCTCATCCGTTGTTTGAAGTACAGGCCTTGCCGGTATCTGTGTCAGAGGCCACCTCGGGGCCTCCTTCCTGTTATGAACGACCTCTTCTGTAACACAGCCCCTTGACAAGTCATCCTCATTTAGCTCTATCTGGAGGCTTGGGCAATAGGGCTCTGTTTGATATACGTAATGATGATCCTACGAGCTGGAAATAACCCGACTGTTTTGTCCGTGATTCAGCGACACTGTGGGTATTTCGTCTGTGATCTGTAACCAGGATCTGTCTTGAGGGTAAGCTGGCACTGCAATGACAGCAGAATATTGGTCAATGAGGTGCTCGATTTATCGGTTTCTGGGGCGGAGGGATGGTTGGTTGGTTGGTTGGGTTGTTGTTTAACGCCGCACTCAATTCATGTTTACAGGGCTCGATGTAAGTATTTAGAACTTGCACTGAGTGAGTTTATTTTTACGCCGCTCTCAGTAATATCCAGCTATATGGTGGCGGTCTGTAAATAGTCGAGTCTAGACCAGACAATCCAGTGATGAACATCATCGATCTGCGCAATTGGGAACCGATGACATGTGTCAACCAAGTCAGCGAGCCTGACCGCCCGATCCCGTTAGTCGGCTCTTACGACAAGCATTGGTTGCTGAAGACCAATTCGAACCCGGATCTTCACAGGTCAGCGGAGGGTTGACACATGTCATCGAGTCCCAGCTGCGTACATCGATCCTCATGATGTTGTTCACAGGATTGTCTGGTCCAGACTGATTATTTACAGACCGCCCCACATATCTGGAATATTGCTGAGTGCGGCATTAACAACAAACAAAAGATTATTCAGACATTGCTTACGCTCGCTGTGACAGATGCCAACACAACGCGCTGAAGGTAATCGATAAGCCGATGAAAAATGAAGCCGGTTTTCGGTGATTACTTCAAGGCATAAAATGTCATAACAGTTTAGGGAACGTTGCCATATTTATGTGATGCATCCTGTGCTCTACGTCTCACATAGCAAATAAACAGCTTTTTATGTGTGTATTGTATGCTAGAATTTCTAGCGTGCGGTAACTGAGCTAGGAAGCTGCAGATGCCAGCTACCAGCATCCCTAGGCTGTAATTAGCAAAGGCCTATCTGTCAATAGGAACATCTAAAGAGACAAAAATGTCACGATATAAAAACGACATCTTTTCTTTCTTTCATGACAAAACAAATCGATAGACAATTAATGAGACGTTAGTACATGCCCATTGTTTGTCGCTACCATTGAGCTCACCTAGGCTTTGATGGTATAAGAGTTTATTCTTTGTCAGATTGGACAACCTCAAGAAAACCCAAACATTAACTAATTCATAATAATCCTGACAAAACAAAACAGTTTATGTTTTAATTTCTATACAGTTCTTACCGGCACAATTAAACCATCACATTTCTCCGTAGAAACGGGGTTGAACCCATATAGTGCCCAAGACCATTGGGCCAACTCTGCTTTTCATATATTCAGACAGATGTCTACTGCCAGAACAAAACAAAACAGAAGATAATTGAAATTGGTTTATTCACTCCTTTGTTCTGTTAAACAGAATCATTTTTCTGGTGTACCCTGTGGGGAATAGCCCCATAGTCGCAATGGCTACAGTGGGGATTGGATGGACTTGCTCTGTGACCCAGTGACTGCGTGTCATCGTACCCCGATGGTGTCTACTGTGACCCAGTGACTGCGTGTCATCGTACCCCGATGGTGTCTACTGTGACCCAGTGACTGCGTGTCATCGTACCCCGATGGTGTCTACTGTGACCCAGTGACTGCGTGTCATCGTACCCCGATGGTGTCTACTGTGACCCAGTGACTGCGTGTCATCGTACCCCGATGGTGTCTACTGTTGCTCATTCTCTCGGTCACTAGTTGGTAAGGTCCAAGCCGCTGTTATAAAGCAGCAACGAGACATGACATTTATGGGACATGTAGCCTCTGCTGTGTCATAATTGTGGACTGGAATCAATACAGACATGCACAACATATATGTGTCTCCTATATTGAATCCTAGAAGGGAAATTGTCGCGTTGACGCATTGTCGCGTTGTCGCCCTCTCAAAAACAAGCAAAAAGAGGCAAAATTAACCAAAGCGTGACAATGCGACATATTCATTATGTCACGTTGTTGCATTGTCGCGCATTTTAGGCTTTTTTTTACACATCTTAGGTGGGGCGACAATGCGACATATTTTGACCTTGAAAATTGTCGCTATGTCGCGTGTCGCCCTTTGGATGAATAAAAAAATAATTTCAAAACGCGACAATGCGACAGAGCGACAATGCGACAAATGGCCGAAATGTCGCGTTGTCGCATTGTCGCGCTTTGGTTAATTTTGCCTCTTTTTGCTTGTTTTTGAGAGGGCGACAATGTCCCTTCTAGGATTCCATAGTCTCCAGCATATAAACCGGGTATATACACATAGAGTGTGTTTTTACAATGCGATTAGCAATATTCCAGCAACTACTTTGCGGGAACGCCATGAAGTAGTCACACACGTTGGGAATCGAACCCGGGTCTTCTGCGTGACGAGCGGGGCTTTAACCACAAGGCTACCCCACTGCCCCACGTATACTACAGGAATACATGTATATGTACCCTCATATGAGGTATAACAATTATATAAAACTAAATAGACATAATATCAGATAAAATATATAATATATCTATGTCGTACCTGATGCTTTGATTGCGAAGTTAGATAAGGAGACTAACATCCAGGTGTGTATATTGATTTCAGCATAATTTTGTATTTAAGTTTCATGGAAACTAATGAATTAGCCGAGAGTTGCGGTTCATACAGTCAAGTCAAGGACACCAGAAATGGACTTTAAACCACTATAGGCTACCCCACTGCTCCACTTGTATGAAGAATGCAGCGCTGATTTCACCCGGAGTACATTAGAGAACAGGCATCTATAAAAGATCCGGCTCCGTTCCACAAAGCGATCTTAGCGCTAAGACGATCTAACTCCCAAGCTTAAACACTGACTTGTGACAGTCGTAGCGATAAGTTCTCTTGTGCCCTGCCTTTATTCTTCCTCCGGTTTAGAAAAAGCGTCTATTGGTTGTCCTGTGTCCAGTGTCCCGGTGCCTGTTTGGACTTTTGTATCCTTAAACTCTTTTTTCGAATCTGGATGATTCCCCTAGGAACTGTATCACACTCTTGGATATGTGCATCTTGTTTCGCAGGTACAATCAACATGACAGCGGATTCATGCTTTGGTTAAATGACCAAAGGTTTTCTGAATTCGGTTATATATCCACTCGCATTTGATGATCAAACACGATAGCCTCAGATCACTCACAATACAAGAATACAAGAATGTTGGCCCGTGAATATCCGGGTTAGAATTGATCTTCAGTAACCAGGCTTGTCGTAAGAGGCGAATAACGGGACCGGGTGATCAGGCTCGCTGACTTGGTTGACACATGTCATCGGTTCCCAATTGCGCAGATCGATGCTCATGATGTTCATCACTGGATTGTCTGGTCCAGACTCGATATTTACAGACCGCCGCCATAACATTCCTGGGTGCGGCGTAAAACTAAACTCACTCACTTACTCACAAGAATGTTGCCGGAACCGGAAGTAGTGTTCAACAAACAAACAGTCAGGTCCAGTCTCATGATTAAACCTGACACTCTATATACGGTTTCATGTAATTCTCTGAAATAGGAGTCCGATCATTTTAGTCATTTGATCGCTAGGAAAATATAAAACTCGAAACAGATTCCCTTGGGCTTGTACGGCAAAATATATATCCATATATTGATCATTGTAAATCAGGGACGTGTTTGCAAAGGTTGTCACTTGAAAAGTATATGTAGGCTACAGAGGACGACAGCGTAAGAACGGAAACCTGGCATCACTGAATGACACATCCTTCGTTCCTGATGATGACCCCCAACCTGGCAACCTGATCCACGAGGTCTCCTGGATCCATCCGGACTCCCTTCTCACTTCTGCTCCATCCACGACCGGCCATGATGGCCTCAAGGACCGTGAAACACGGAGTTATCTCCCCCTGCTTCTTCCACTCACGCTTCGTCTGCCACTCCCGCCACCACTTCCGGATTAAGTACTCGTCAACCTCGGCCGCCTGCACCGGGAAGATCTTGTCAGCTGCCCTTCCCTCAAAGTTGCAGTCGTCCTCTAACGTCGTCGGATTTATCGGCTGACTTTCATTGTCGTCTGGGAACATGTTCCTCCGCCAGCTGATGTACGTTCCGTCTGACAGTTGGAGTCCGCCATGACCTGCTATCTCGCCGTCATTTTCTTTACCTTTCCACACATAGAGTTTTGCGCACATGATGCCTGTCTGAAAAAGAAATCATTAACAAAACAGTGTCGTGTAATTGTAGTACGTCTCATCGGTCTAGTAGTTAAGGTGTTTGTCTTGGGAACAGATTGATAAGGTGTTTGTCTTGGGAACTGATTGTTTAGTCACACAACAGCATGATGGTTCTTGATGTTTCCCTGCCTGGCGTTCTATATAACAAGGACTTGTCGACTTAGAGTCAGTATGGTGTGTCTAAGTAGGGCGTCAGTGTTAAACTGTAAAGCCGGCTTTGGGCCTGGCTAGTACCAGCAAACACAAGAGTGAGTTTAGTTTTACGCCGCTTTTAGCAATAAGCCAGCAATATCACGGCGGGAGACACCAGAAATGGGCTTCACACATTGTACCCATGTGGGAATCGAACCCGGGTCTTTGACGTGAGGAGCGAATGCTTTAACCACTGGGCTACCAGCAAGCACAAGAACCCATGGCAAGATCCAAATCTCGCCACCATTTTAAGGGATCCCGCTTCTGCGGTCTTAACGCAATGGGGTAGCCCTGTGGTTACAGAGTTCGCTCATGATGCCGTTCATGGGTTCGATTCCACACAGTGGTCCAATATGTGAAACTCATTGCAGGTGTTCCCAGAAGTGAGATTGCTCATATGGTGCCGAGGGAGGTGTAAAACCATATGCCCGGTCTGTATGCTGGAGCAGTGTGCTGAAGTCTGAAGCACCAGACTTATAGTACGTTCAGTGCCTGAGTTTGCTAAAGGTGGCATGAAACATACTCACTCACTCTTTTTACAGGCATTCATCATCACAAGTAAATCTCCGTAGCCAAGGAGTCGTCGATATGTATTACTTTCACTCTGCAAATCCCTAAATAAGCTTAGTCTTTCAAAATATAAAATTTTGACATAAACACATTTATCCACTTAAATTTGAAAAGAGCCCCGTGGAAATGGGACCTGAACTCGAGTGGAATCTAGAATTGCTTCATTTAGAGCGTTTGTATTGCAGAGATGGCTGGACGGAAGGTAAAGTAACAAAGTTCCGGATTATGAGACTAATCCCCTATTCATTCCGTTTACAAAGACCATGTTGGATATATATCCTCATTCGGAAATATTAAAATACGTAACAATGAAACATAAACTAGCGAGAGACCAGGACGCCGTTTTCAGAGAAGTGAGGTATTGTTAAAGCGGAAAGTTTAAAGCTTGACGTTATATTAAAACAGGCCATAAAATAAAGAAATAATTGATTTCCTGCAAAGATACAAGTCAGAGCAATAGTGATGCCAAGCGTTTTCCTTTCTGAAATTTGAATAGAACTTTGTAGACAAAATTTACATTCAGAGTGAAAATACAGACATTTTACACTCGTGTGTGCATGTCCTGTTGATTTTACGAACCGATGTTTAAATCACGTGGTCACGTCATGGCAATATGCATGTCATGCTTCAAATTCGTCAGGTTCATTGTTTCAAAGCAAAACACGTAAAACCAGCGGACATGTCATGCATAACTGGACCTCGAGTATTCAATAACATATGTGAATCGATTGATTATCCAGCATGGTGCTCCTGAATATCGGTCGAGGTTACGGGGTGGGATAGGTTTAGTCAATTTCATCAAGGTGAAGAGTAAGTGAGTATGGTTTTACGCCGCCATTAGCAATATTTAAGCAATATCCCAGAATGGGCTTCAGACAATGTACCCATGTAGGATCGAACCCGGGTATTCGGCGTGACGATCAAACGGTTTAACCACTAGGCTACCCCACCGCCACGGGGAAGAGTGAGTGAGTGAGTTTGGTTTTACGCCACTTTTAACCCTATTCCAGCAATATCACGGCGGGGGACACCAGAAATGGGCTTCACACTTTGTACCCAGGTGGGGGATCGAACCCGGGTCTTCGGCGTGACGAGCGAACGGTTTAACCACTTCACTACCCCACCGCCACCTCACGGGGAAGAGATTGACATCATGATGCAATTAACGTGAATGGCTTCGAGCAGAACACGTATAAACAACGGATATGTCATGCATACCTTGACCTGGACCAAGATTCAATAACATATGTGACCGTTTTACAATGACGCATCTAGTTTAGTGCACGTGTACCTCGTTCAATAGTACTCGGCGGAAAAGGTGCAGTCCGTTTTATAATGGGGGAGGCTTTGAAATTGACGTAATAATGAAATTAACGTGAATGCTTCAAAAGAATATGCACTGTATACCAGACCTCGACTCGCTAAGCACAAGTGACTCTCCGCTAAACACTGTACACAGGATTACGTAAAGTTCTATGATGATAGTTGTATACAACTGTGAATCACGATAGTATGTCTATTGTCGGCCGTATGTATTTGTGGTAAAAAGGTAGCTATAGTCTGTTTGCGGTGAAAACGTACCGATGAATTTCACTTTAAACAAAAATGTAAATCAAATAAAGAGAAATTAAGATTGCGAATCCTCATAATTTTACCTTGCCATTTCAAAATTTAAATATCAGATTTTTATTCAACGTAGGATAAAAGTTGTTTAACAAACGATCATAGTTTCAAATCGCTATTATTGGTTTGTATTACAAGGGGGTATGCACATTAAATGAAACACCGAGAACAAGGAGGGTTGGTCTCAGCCTGGTTCCCTGGGTCCGCAGTGGCGAAGCGTAGCGCAGGCGCAACGGACCCAGGGAACCAGGCTGGGTTGGTCTAAGTTAACGCTCATCACGTACCGCACGTGCATTTGTTTCACTGTTCCAACTACTGCGCTTACCCCCTTGTAATACAAACCAATATAAGCGATTTGAAACAATGATCGTTTGTTAAACAACTTTTTTCCTAAGTTGAATAAAAATCTAAGATTTGATTTTTCAATTGGCAAGGTAGAATTATGAGGATTCGCAATCTTAATTTCACTAAAATTCGATTTACATTTTGTTTAATGTGAAATTCACCGGTACGTTTTCACTGCAAACAGACTATAGACTTGGTGATGTTTTCATTGAGTACACAACTCATCCACTTACATGATACAGTATCCGTGTGTATGGGATGTTATAGTGAGTGAGTGAGTTTAGTTTTACGCTGCATTCAGCAATATTCCAGCTATATGGCGGCGGTCTGTAAAAAATCGAGTCTGGACCAGACAATCCAGTGATCAACAGCATGAACATCGATACACGATTGGGATACGATGACATGTGTCAACCAAGTCAGCGAGCCTGACAACCCGATCCCGTTAATAGACTCTAACGACTAGCATGGGGCGCTGAAGACCAATTCTAAGCCGGGTCTTCATTGGTGGCATGGCGTGTCAGGGTATGGGTGGCATGGCGTGTCAAGGGTATGGGTGGCATGGCGTGTCAAGGGTATGGGTGGCATGGCGTGTCAAGGGTATGGGTGGCATGGCGTGTCAAGGGTATGGGTGGCATGGCGTGTCAAGGGTATGGGTGGCATGGCGTGTCAAGGGTATGGGTGGCATGGCATGGCGGCGTGTCAAGGGTATGGGTGGCATGGCGTGTCAAGGGTATGGGTGGCATGGCGTGTCAAGGGTATTGGTGGCATGGCGTGTCAAGGGTATGGATGGCATGGCGTGTCAAGGGTATGGGTGGCATGGCGTGTCAAGGGTATGGGTGGCGTGTCAGGGGTAAGGGCATGGGTGGCATGGCGTGTCAAGGGGTATGGATGGCATGGCGTGTCAAGGGTATGGATGGCATGGCGTGTCAAGGGTATGGGTGGCATGGCGTGTCAAGGGTATGGGTGGCATGGCGTGTCAAGGGTATGGCGTGTGGGTGGCATGGCGTCAAGGGTATGGGTGGCATGGCGTGTCAAGGGTATGGGTGGCATGGCGTCAAGGGTATGGGTGGCAAAGGGTATGGGTGGCATGGCGTGTCAAGGGTATGGGTGGCATGGCGTGTCAATGGGTGGCATGGCGTGTCAAGGGTATGGGTGGCGGCGTGTCAAGGGTATTGGTGGCACAGCGTGTCAAGGGTATGGATGGCATGGCGTGTCAAGGGTATGGGTGGCATGGCGTGTCATGGCGTGTCAAGGGTATGGGTGGCATGGCGTGTCAAGGGCATGGGTGGCATGGCGTGTCAAGGGGGGCATGGGTGGCATGGCGTCAAGGGTCATGGCGTCAGGGGCATATGGCGTGGCATGGCGTGTCAAGGGTATGGGTGGCATGGCGTGTCAAGGGTATGGTTGGCATGGGTATGGCGTGTCAAGGGTATGGCATGGCGTGTCAAGGGTATGGGTGGGTGGCATGGCGTATGGATCAAGGGTCATATGGCGTGGCGTGTCATGGCGTGTCAAGGGTATGGGTGGCATGGCGTGTCATGGGTGGCATGGCGTGTCAAGGATAAGGGGCATGGCGTGTCAAGGGTATGGGTGGCATGGCGTGTCAGGGTATGGGTGGCATGGCGTGTCAAGGGTATGGGTGGCATGGCGTGTCAAGGGTTGGTGGCATGGCGTGTCAAGGGTATGGGTGGCATGGCGTGTCAAGGGCATGGCATGGCGTGTCAAGGGTATGGGTGGCATGGCGTGTCAAGGGCATGGGTGGCATGGCGTGTCAAGGGTATGGTGGCATGGCGCAAGGGTATCCGTACATTGCTGTTTTTGGCAGGCGTGATATGGATTCCGTTCTTGGCACAGGAGTTATGTCAAGGGTATGGGGCAATTCTATTGTCTGGCACAGGAGCGTGTGAGAGGTCAGGATGTATACATGTATACATGTATAGATGTATACACCAGCAAAGTCACAATGGGATTCAGAAATCTACATAACCTTTTGTACCACGTGAGTGATCGAATCTGGGATTTCGGCGTGACAAGCCATCGCTTGAACCATTACCTTACACCGCCGCTGCTGTGACTGCATAATCATCTCCCCACGACGTCGAAATACGACGACGCACACAGTACAGCGGTAACACATCACGACATTCCTCGCTTTAACGACACAGTGGGGAAACAGAGGGACACACATTTAACACTTCTACTGCTCCGTGGTGTAGTGGTTACTATCGCCTTGTAGGTTCGAATCCCTGGACTAACACTTAGTCTTTGAATATATAATTTTAACAGTAACAAATAAACCCATGTAAATTGAAAAGATGCCCCAGTGAGATGGGAGATTCAGAACCTGGGGAAATCAGTTTGATATATTTACTTTGTAATCCAACCCGTGAAGATCCGGGTCAGAGATGATCTTCAGTAACCCATGCTTGTCATAAGAGGCGACTAACGGGATCGGGTGGTCAGGCTGGCTGACTTGGTTGACACATGTCATCGTATCCCAATTGCGTAGATTGATGCTTATGCTGTTGATCACTGGATTGTATGGACCAGACTCGATTATTTACAGACCGGGGAATATTTCTCGGTGCGGCGTAAAACAAAACTCACTCACTCACTTACTCACTTTGTAATCCGACCCCTAAAGTGAGTTGGTTTTCTTGCAGAAGATAACAGACCCTGAACCTGAGGAAATCTAAACTTGCTTTATTTAGGGCTTTAGCACTACAGAGAGGGCTTGGCAGTAGGGAAATTAATGTGGTTCAGGGACTGTGAGACCTGAGGAAATCTAGACTTGCTTCATTTAGGGCTTTAGCATTGCAGAGAGGGCTAGGCTGTAGGGAAAATAATATGGTTCAGGGACTGTGTGACCTGAGGAAATCTAGACTTGCTTCATTTAGGGCTTTAGCATTGCAGGGAGGGCTAGGCAGTAGGGAAAATAATGTGGTTCAGGGATTGTGACACAGACTATTCGAACCCCCTTCATTCTTCATCCCATCAGTATGCTTTGCAAATATGATGCTTCGGGAACACTGCTAGACTAGCCCGTCTCACAGTCCCTGAACCACATTATTTTCCCTTCAACCCAACCATGCAAAAAGCAAAACCCATAAATGAATCAAGTCTATATTCCCTCGGGTGCTGAATTCCGATCTCACTTGTTCTGCTTTTCAGTTTAAATGGATTTATTTGTTTTGATCAAAATGATATATTTCAGAGAAAAGGCGTCATGATCCGGTGTGCCTGACGCTGCTCATGGGTTCGAATCCTAAATTAGAACCTTGCCGGCATTACTCACGTGTTAATATCTACGACCTGGGCAGCATGGAAATGGCTTTGATACGCCTGAATATTGATCATGTAAGTCCCACCGAGCATGCCGGGGTCTAGCTGTTACTACTAGTTTCCCATAATGGAGTCATGTTGATGGTATCCTTATTACCTACTGTTCTGGTTTGAGACGAACAGTTACTATCAGTTTCATATTGTCCTGTTTTTAGACGAACGGTTACTATCAGTTTCATATTGTCCTTTTTTTAGACGAACAGTTACTATCAGTTTCAAATTGTCCTGTTTTTAGACGAACGGTTACTATCAGTTTCAAATTGTCCTGTTTTTAACTATCAGTTTCCCATACCTTTTTAGAAACGGTTACTATCAGTTTCATATTGTCCTTTTTTTAGACGAACGGTTACTATCAGTTTCATAAATTGTCCTTTTTTTAGACGAACGGTTACTATCAGTTTCAGATTGTTCTTGATTGAGACGAACGGTTACTATCAGTTTCAGATTGTCCTTTTTTTAGACGAACGGTTACTATCAGTTTCATATTGTCCTTTTTAGACGAACGGTTACTATCAGTTTCATATTGTCCTTTTTTAGACGAACGGTTACTATCAGTTTCATATTGTCCTTTTTTTAGACGAACGGTTACTATCAGTTTCATACTATGTCCTTTTCTTTTTGAGACGAACGGTTACTATCAGTTTCATATTGTCCTTGTCCTTATTTAGACGAACGGTTACTATCAGTTTCATATTGTCCTTTTTAGACGAACGGTTACTATCAGTTTCATATTGTCCTTTCTTAGACGAACGGTTACTATCAGTTTCATATTGTTCTTGATTGAGACGAACGGTTACTATCAGTTTCAGATTGTCCTTTTTTTAGATTACTATCAGTTTCATATTGTCCTTTTTTTAGACGAACGGTTACTATCAGTTTCATATTGTCCTTTTGTAGACGAACGGTTACTATCAGTTTCATATTGTCCTTTTTTAGACGAACGGTTACTATCAGTTTCATATTGTTCTTGGTTGAGACGAACGGTTACTATCAGCTGTCTATTGTTCTTTTTGGAGATGAACGGTTACTATCAGTTTCCTATTGTCACTGTTGGAGCCCAGCTGTGAATGAGTTTCCCATTTTAGAGCCCAACTGTCACACAATTAGTGAGTGAGTGAGTTTAGTTTTACGCCGCACTCAGCAATATTCCAATAATCGAGTCCGGACCAGACAATCCAGTGATCAACAGCATGAGCATGGGTTCCTGAAGATCAATTCTAACCCAGATCTTCACGGGTCATACAATTAGTAAACTGATTAAGTGTTATTGGCTATTGTTTAGACTTTATTTAGTAACCTTACATTCTACTTATTTGTTTGCTTATCCGATGTGAAATTGACGCACACGCACATGCACATGCACACGCACATGCACACCTTATCTCCCCACTCATTCACAGCAGCTCCAACACAAAGTCAAGGTTGTTTATTTAAATCATCTGGTACCACCCTAATGGCTGTAAAGATGTACACCGAGAAACGTGACCACCGTATATGGGGCGACATTTGATGACAACAGTAAGCAGCTACCACCACCCCCCCATCGAATAATACTGACCCACGGCGTCATTCATGTCAGTCCTGACAGAAACATGCGTGTGTTGCTTACACTGAAGCCACGCAAGAACCTTCAAATTCAGAGCTGGGAGTGGTATTTAATTAAATCTCAACAATCCCTGGCGGTATATTTAGTTCACTCCGTGAGCATGAAAAAGGTTCATGTGCAATCTTAAAGGTTGCCATAGCAACATATATTTATGATTCATAAGCGTTTTCATTGACCATTGTACGTCATCAGTGAAGCTCAGGTTAGGCAACATATTCTCCTGTGAGTGAGTCACCCCTTTACAACACGCATTACAATGCAGTGAGAGATAGCTTCAAGGACAACGTGCATACAACCTTTGCTGGAGTACATTGCGTCGACTCCATTGAACAGGTACACTTTGTGTAACGAACGGGAGAGGCGGGGGACAGGTTGGGTTTATTCTGTCTCGTGTGTGTGTGTGAGTGAGAGAGAGAGAGAGAGAGAGAGAGAGAGAGAGAGAGAGAGAGAGAGAGAGAGAGAGAGAGAGAGAGAGAGAGAGAGAGAGAGAGAGAGAGAGAGAGAAAGAAGAGAATGGGGGAGTTCTATTACGCACACACACGCGCACACCAATACGGACAGACACAAAGTCACACACATGGAGATTGTGTATATATACATAAATATACACGTACATACCTGACACATATACATACATACAGGAATAAATGCGCATGCACACACACAAATGAACACACATACACACGCGCGCATACGCACAGCCATACAGACACACACATGGAGAAAGTATACGCTTACATTAACATACGCGTGCATAGTTAATACATACACACGCACACACTTACATGCACACACACGCAGTAACAATTAGTACTCATATAACACGAGAAAACAGAAATACATAGCTCACTGACAACAGAGACCACGTAATAGGGTTATATCATATGGTCTCTACATAGACATAGAGACGACAGCCCTGCATCGTGTCGCCATAAGCTATCATCATTAAATTGTTACATCGTTTGTCATGCTCATTATCTCTGGAGATATGTAAATTATACTCATAAAGCGTACAATATGGAAATGTAATTCCTGTTTTATACGGCTAGCGGTGACACGTGATAATGAATTCGACACGACAGCAAATTATCATACTGGCCAGTACGCATAAATGCATACTCTCGGACCAAGACAGTGTATGCCAACATATTCTGCACGACTTACCACTTAGTGCACCTGTGTTCCTGGTGTTAGTGCACCTGTGTTCCTGTTGCTAGTGCACCTGTGTTCCTGTTGTTAAAGCACCTGTGTTCCTGTTGTTAGAGCACCTGTTGCTAGTACACCTGTGTTCCTGTTGTGAGAGCACCTGTGTTCCTGTTGTTAGAGCACCTGTGATTCTGTTGTTAGAGCACCTGTGTTCCTTTTGTTAGAGCACCTGTGATTCTGTTGTTAGATCATCTGTGTTCCTTTTGTTAGAGCACCTGTGTTCCTGTTGCTAGTGCACCTGTGTTCCTTTTGTTAGAGCACCTGTGTTCCTGTTGTTAGAGCACCTGTGTTCCTTTTGTTAGTGCACCTGTGTTCCTGTTGCTAGTGCACCTGTGTTCCTTTTGTTAGAGCACCTGTGTTCCTTTTGTTAGTGCACCTGTGTTCCTATTGCTAGTGCACCTGTGTTCCTTTTGTTAGAGCACCTGTGTTCCTGTTGTTAGAGCACCTGTGTTCCTGTTGTTAGAGCACCCGTGTTCCTGTTGTTAGAGCACCCGTGTTCCTGTTGTTAGAGCACCTGTGATTCTGTGGTTAGACCACCTGTGATTCTGTTGTTAGAGCACCTGTGTTCCTTTTGTTAGTGCACCTGTGATTCTGTTGTTAGAGCACCTGTGTTCCTGTTGTTAGAGCACCTGTGTTCCTGTTGTTAGAGCACCCGTGTTCCTGTTGTTAGAGCACCTGTGATCCTGTTGGTAGAGCACCTGAGAGCACCTGTGTTCCTGTTGGTAGAGCACCTGTAGTGCACCTGTGTTCCTGTTCTTAGTTCACCTGTGTTCCTGTTCTTAGTGCACCTGAGTGCACCTGTGTTCCTGTTCTTAGTTCACCTGTGTTCCTGTTTTTAGTGCACCTGTGTTCCTGTTCTTGGTGCACCTGTTTTCTTGTTCTTAGTTCACCTGTGTTCCTGTCGTAAGAGCACCTGTATTCTTGTAGTCAATGCACCTATGTTTTTGGCATTAGTGAAGTTGTGTTCCTGTCGTTAGTGCCCCTTGTTCCTGTCGTTAGTGCCCCTTGTTAGTACACCTGTCTTCTATTACAAGGGCTGTGTACATGAGTGTACCTTGTAGCGGTGTTATTCTGTAGGCGGGTACACACTCAACAACCCGCGGTGCACAAGACTCTTAACACTGATCGATCAAGTGGAACGTCACCTCTCCGTGGCTCACTGACCCGATACCGTGGGAAGGTAACTGTTCCTACACTTGCTCCCAGTCCCCTGTTGTGTGCCTCAGTCCCTAAACCATATTATTTTCCGGGGCGGTGGGGCAGCCTACTGGTTAAAGCGTTCGCTCGTCACGCCAAAGGCTCGGTTTCGATTTCCCATATGGGCACAATGTGTGAAGCCCATTTCTAGTGTCCCCCGTCATGATATTGCTGGAATATTGCTAAAAGAGGCGTCTAACCTCACTCACTCACAATATTATTTTCCCCTTCCGCCCAACCCACCCTGTAATGTCCAAACCTTAACTAAAGCAAGTGTAGACTTTCCTCAAATTTTGAATCTCCTAGCTGACTGAGGCTCCTTTTCAATTACGATGAAGCTTTTCTTTTTATGAAGAGTATATGGGTGACCGACAGGACGGCCATACAGTTACATAGTAAACTACGACCAGAACGAACTCGAAACGACCGCTAATTGTAGTTTGATATAACAATAGTTCGTTATACGCATTTCGACTAAAAGAGTGAGTGAGTGAGTTTGGTTTTACGCCGCTTTTAGCAATATTCCAGCAATATCACGGCGGGGGATACCAGAAATGGGCTTCACACATTGTACCCATGTGGGAATCGAACCCGGCCTTCGGCGTGACGAGCGAACGCTTTAACCACTAGGCTACCCCACCACCCCGAGTGAGTGAGTGAGGCAGTAACTACATGAACATAAACGCTACATGGCCACCAGTGGCTTTACGTCTTTTCAACAGACTATTAATTGTACATGGGCAATAAAAGAGGCGAGAGTAACCTGGAAATATCATTGAGCATTGCGGGAGAGCTGTTTAATGCACGCTCCCTGCTGTCGCCATTGAATTTAGTGTTGCAAGTGTTCTGAATGGTTGCATTGGAAAACATTAACATGATGCCATTGACGAACACAATCAGATCGCATTCATCCCCGTGATCAACCACGGGGAGTAATAACGTTCCGATACTATCGGGTTTCAGCGTGTGCAACCAGCTACGTATTTCAGTGGGGCTTTGGGAAGCATTGGTGCGAGCATTTTAACAATGAACATTTTGAAAAAAGAAAACTGAAATGGTTTCCTCAGCTGTGTGCTCCCTGTAAATGCCTGGCTGAAACACGACATGGAAATAATGTACGAGTGCATCCATGGTGTAGCGGATAGAGTGTCTGCTCAGAGAGGGTATGGTTGGGGTTCGATCCCGGCCGCGGTGAGGTAGCCTAATGGTTAAAGCGTTGGCTCGAATTCGACCCGGGTTCGAATCCCCACATGGGCACAATGTGTGAAGCCCATTTCTGGTGTCCCCCGCCGTGATGTTGCTGGAATATTGCTAAAAGCGGCGTAAAACCAAACTCAGTCAGCCAGTCAGTCGTGACGCAATGTATATAAAGATGGTGTTTGTTGTTGCCTGGCGCTCGGTGTATCAGACAAGGACTGTCGGGTCGGGGTGTGTACACTGTATCTGAGTGGGTGCCCATGTTAGACCTGCAGCAACCGGTCCCGACTAGAACACACACACATGCATATACGTTGCGGCAAAGGTTCATTGCCACCCAGTCTCTACTTCAACTCGCAAGGGGCGGTGGGGTAGCCCAGTGGTTAAGGCGTTAGCTCGTTAGCACAACTCGCCACCCGTTTAAACCTCACCTCGCCACCCAACAACCCCCCACCACTTCTCCACCTCTACTCGCTACCCATTCTCCACTTTCAACTCACCCCCCTTCTCTACTTCATCTCGCCACCCTCCAACCCACCACCCCTCTGCCCTCAATTCGCCACAGCCCTCCGCCCTCAACTCCCCACCCCTCCTCCACCCTCAACTCGCCACCCCTTCCCCACCCTCAACTCGCCACCCATTCTCCACCCTCAGCTCCCCACCCATTCTCCACCCTCAACTCACCACCCCATCCCCACCTCAACTCGTTACCCCTCCGCCCTCAACCCGCCACCCTTCCGCCCTCAACTCCCACCCCTCCTCCACCTCCCTCAACTCGTCACCCCTTCTCCACCTCCTCAACTCGCCACCCATTCTCCACCCTCAGCTCCCCACCCATTCTCCCACCTCAGCTCCCCACCCCTTCTCCAACCTCAACTCGCCACTCCTTCCCCACCCTCAACTCGCCACCCATTCTCCACCCTCAACGCGCCACCCCTTCCCCAAATTTGAAACGTGACATCCTTTCATTCTCAAAACTCAGCTTTCTATTCCAACACACGACATCCAGCAAAGCTCTGTCACAGAACATGTTTATATCCTCTGATGATTTGACAGAGATAACAGCAACTTTGTCAAGGGCCGAGACTTAAAAGAGCTGTGTGACAAGAATAACAAAACGCTGTATGAAATTTTAACTTCAGTGTTGCTTTAAACATTAAAAATGTTTAAAACACCGCTAATTCTCTCGCTCATTTAGATTCTGTGTGGGGTTGTTTTCTCTTCTGATTAATGCAGCATCACACGTCTTGTCATAACAGTAAACGCCGCAGAAATCCCGTTAATCTGCCATGTGCTTTAGATGTTTGACATTCACGATAATTAAATGTCAACTTCACGGTTACTGTTAATTAACTGTATTAACTTCGCTTCAGCGAATATTTGACAAAACCCTTAAACACCAACGCCAGTGATCACTGTTACTCGTTCCCAATTGTCTCCAGCTATTTGCATCCGGGACTACACGTTAAGAAGTGACACAAGAAGTGTCACCCGTTTAGCAGGACAATGTTACCTTATATGGGTATAGAGGTGATTTCCTCGTGTAGATCATTTCCTCGTGCAGATCATTTCCTCGTGCAGATCAATACAGACAGGGGGTTTCATAGTGCATGACAATACAGGCACGGTGTTTTACTGTGTATGGCAATACAGACACGGGGTTTTACTGTGCATGACAATACAGGCATGGGGTTTTACTGTGCATGACAATACAAGCATGGGGTTTTACTGTGTGTGACAATACAGGCACGGGGTTTTACTGTGCATAACAATACAAGCACGGGGTTTCACTCGTACATGACAATACAGGCACGGGGTTTTACTGTGTGTGACAATACAGGCATGGCGTTTTACTGTAAATGATAATACAGGCATGGGGTTTTACCGTGCATGACTATACAGGCATGGGGTTTTACTGTGTATGACAATACAGGCACGGGGTTTTACTGTGCATGACAATACAGGCACGGGGTTTTACTGTGTATGACAATACAGGCACGGGTTTTACTGTGTGTGACAATACAGGCACGGGGTTTTCACTGTGTATGACAATACAGGCACGGGGTTTTACTGTGTATGACAATACAGGCATGGGGTTTTACTGTGTATGACAATACAGGCACGTGGTTTTACTGTGTATGACAATACAGGCACGGGGTTTTACTGTGCATAACAATACAAGCACGGGGTTTCACTGTACATGACAATACAGGCACGGGGTTTTACTGTGTATGACAATACAGGCACGGGGTTTTACTGTGTATGACAATACAGGCATGGGGTTTTACTGTGTATGACAATACAGGCACGGGGTTTTACTGTGTATGACAATACAGGCACGGGGTTTTACTGTGCATAACTATACAAGCACGGGGTTTCACTGTACATGACAATACAGGCACGGGGTTTTACTGTACATGTGTACAGGCATGACAATACAATACAAGCACGGGGTTTCACTGTGTATGACAATACAGGCACGGGGTTTTACTGTGTACGACAATACAGGTACGGGGTTTTACTGTGCATGACTATACAGGCACGGGTTTTACTGTGTATGACAATACAGGCATGGGGTTTTACTGTGTATGACAATACAGGCACGGGGTTTTACTGTGCATGACAATACAGGCACGTGGTTTTACTGTGTATGACAATACAAGCACGGGGTTTTACTGTGTATGACAATACAGGCACGGGGTTTTACTGTGTATGACAATACAGGCACGGGGTTTTACTGTGTATGACTATACAAGCACGGGGTTTTACTGTGTACATGACAATACAGGTACGGGGTTTTACTGTACATGACAATACAGGCATACAAGGGGTTTTACTGTGTGTGACAATACACAGGCACGGGGTTTTACTGTGTATGACAATACAAGCACGGGGTTTCACTGTACATGACAATACAGGCACGTGGTTTTACTGTGCATGACAATACAGGCATGGGGTTTTACTGTGTGTGACAATACAGGCACAGGGTTTTACTGTGTATGACAATACAGGCACGGGGTTTTACTGTGTGTGACAATACAGGCACGGGGTTTTACTGTGTATGACAATACAGGCACGGGTTTTACTGTGTATGACAATACAGGCACGGGGTTTTACTGTGTATGACAATACAGGCACGTGGTTTTACTGTACATGATTATACAGGCACGGGGTTTTACTGTGTATGACAATACAGGCACGGGTTTTACTGTGTGTGACAATACAGGCACGGGGTTTTACTGTGTATGACAATACAGGCACGGGGTTTTACTGTGTATGACAATACAGGCATGGGTTTTACTGTGTATGACAATACAGGCACGGGGTTTTACTGTGTATGACAATACAGGCACGGGGTTTTACTGTGCATGACTATACAAGCACGGTTTCACTGTGTATGACAATACAGGCACGGGGTTTTACTGTGTGTGACAATACAGGCACGGGGTTTTACTGTGCATGACAATACAGGCATGGGGTTTTACTGTGCATGACAATACAGGCATGGGGTTTTACTGTGTATGACAATACAGGCACGGGTTTTACTGTGTATGACAATACAGGCACGGGGTTTTACTGTGCATGACAATACAGGCACGGGGTTTTACTGTGCGCATGACAATACAGGCACGAATTTTACTGGTATGAACAATACAGGCACAGGGGTTTCACTGTGCATGACAATACAAGGCACTGGGTTTCACTGTGTATGATAATTCAGGTACAGGGGGTTTTACTGTGCATGACAATACAGGCATGGGGTTTTACTGTGTATGAAAATACAGGCACGGGGTTTCACTGTGCATGACAATACAGGTACGGGGTTTTACTGTGTATGACAATACAGGCACGTGGTTTTACTGTGCATGACAATACAGGCATGGGGTTTTACTGTACATGACAATACAGGCACGGGGTTTTACTGTGTATGACAATACAGGCACGTGGGTTTTACTGTGTATGACAATACAGGCACGGGGTTTTACTGTGTGTGACAATACAGGCATGGGGTTTTACTGTGCATGATAATACAGGCACGGGGTTTTACTGTGTATGACAATACAGGCACGGGGTTTCACTGTGCATGACAATACAAGAACTGGGTTTCACTGTGCATGATAATTCAGGTACGGGGTTTTATTGTGCATGACAATACCAGCACGGGGTTTTATTCTGTATGAAAATACAGGTACGGGGTTTCACTATACATGACAATACAGGTACGGGGTTTGCTGTGTATGATAATACAGGCACGTGGTTTTACTGTGCATGACAATACAGGCACGGGGTTTCACTGTTATATAGCAATACAGGCACGGGGTTTTACTGTGCATGACAATACAGGCACGTGGTTTTTACTGTTATATAGCAATACAGGCACTTGGTTTCACTGTTATATAGCAATACAGGCACGGGGTTTTACTGTTATATAGCAATACAGGCACGGGGTTTTACTGTGCATGACAATACAGGCACGGGGTTTCAATGTTATATAGCAATACAGGCACGGGGTTTCCCATGCTCATGCTGTTGATCACTTCATTGTCTGGTCCAGACTCGATTATCTACAGGCTGCCGCCATATAACTGGAATATTGCTGAGTGCGGCGTAAAACAACAAACAAAGACTAAACCATCATCTGATCGCATAAGAGGTAATCAAGACCTTTCGACCACCTGAGTCAGTAAGGATTTACGTCAGCAATCAGGGCCTAGAATTTTTTTACAGATTATTTTTGTACATCAAAGTATTGATCTAACACTCTTTCAATGTGGATAGTGTCCTCTCTATTAAGAAAAGTTAACTACGGCCCTGGCAATATTCCAGCAACATCACGGCGGGTGACATCAGAAATGGGCTTCACACATTGAAACCATGTAGGGAATCGAATCCGGCTTTTTCGTCGTGACGAGGGTACGCTTTAACCACTACCCTAAACTCCTCTACTGTCCTCTGCATTTTTCTTAAACCAACCTTCACAGCTGGATGTGTGACAAGCGTTGTCAGCATGGGGTAAATGTCATGTGTAATTCCCAAACCAAACATTGAACGTAGGTATCAATGAAAATAAAATAGAATTGCTCACAACAGGGATAGGAAACAGATGACGTGTGTTTGAGTTAGGTCCCTACTGTATTGTTCACGTTTTAATTTATTCATGAAATTCATTGAAAACATCGTAGAGAGTAGTCCATCTGTGTCCCTAGAGCGGCTGCTGTTGCCGATCTACCTGTAACAGATATTCACTTATTTGCGGAGGTCCCGTTGATTTCAGTGTAGATAAGTGACAAAATCGAATTTATCTTATTTACGCTATGGGACGGGGGGAGACGAAGTCGCCCAATCGTCTAAAACGCCCCAATCGGCTTACAAAGTTGCCTCCCTTAGATACATGTGAACGTGGGTTCGACTCCCACTTGGTCCCGTTTATGTTATGGTGTGTCAGTATCGGAATCATCAAAGTGTTCATCAAATTGCGAGGCCAGGATCACTTTGGGTGAGGTGAGGTGAAATTGATGTTAACGTCGTGCTTGAGAATATTTCGCTCATATGATGACGTGCATGCGTGTGTATGTGTATGTGCGGCTGCTTGTACTAGCCCAGACTTAAGCTGGTTTTATAGTGCTAGCCCACTGAGATACCATGCCGCAGTGAAGCATGAATACCCCACTCAGACACATTATACTGACTCCGAGCCGACCAGTCCTTGTTGTACCCATTAATGCCGAGCGCCAGGCAGGGACCAACAAGTACCATATTTTAACGTCTTTTGGTATGACGTGGTCGGGGATCGAACCCGCGACCTTCTCCGGGCGGACGCTCTAACCACTACACCACGGAGGCAGTCAGCGTGAAGGAAAGCCTATGGATAGTCAACTTCTTTATTGGAATGTATGCGAACGTTATCAAACAAGTGAGCATAATCCATGTTGTCTCCAAACAAAAACCTTCCGAAAACTTGAATATAAACAAAGACATGAAGAAATGTGTAATTCAGAAACCAATCTTCATTTAATCATGATTTACTCTTTCAGTTAATCAGAAAAGGTCATTATAAAATTACTTCACAACATATATAACATGTTTGTGTTGCAATTAGATTTTTAAGTACGTAAAACAGGTCAGCCACACCACAGCATGAAATGACGCCATATACATTGGCAAACTAATTAAACATGTAAAAAGACAAAATGCGAGTCTCCGATATTGAATTTCACCAGGCGCATCCCGGGCAGCACAAGCGTTTCACTAGTAAAACACAAACCCGTGACCACGCATTAATTATACGCCTCATTACAACGACTTTGCGAAAAAGGTTCGAAGAATACTTTCGCCTGCACATCCTCTTGTTATGCAACCATAATTGAATCCCTGTTATCTAAGGATCTTAAGGTGAAGGTCACCGATTCCCGAACCATGATGTTTACGTTTTCGCTTGATCGATAGATTTCTATTTTGATGAGTGGTTCAAGGTGAAGGTCGTCTTAATGCCAAGACTTCCTGCAGGCCTGTTCTGACTGGAGCGTTATTCATAAACCATGCCGGTAGAAGAACTCACAGTCAGTGCATGGCAAAAGATATAATCCATTGATTTATTTAGTAAACAGAGAATACAAAACCAGTGTCACGCTGCGTGTGGTGTGATGGTTACTTTTCACCAGAAGACGGACAAGTCTAAAACCAAGTAAGTAGCCTATCTCAAAGACGATTTCGTGAGCTGTTAAATTGCAATATTTGTTTTTGTGTAAAACATATTATCAGTATTTAATTTGCTGATTAAATGTATACAATAAGCAGTGAATATATGTATAGATGAGTGTGTGATAAAACTGGTTATTGTGCCAACAGAAATTTGACAAAATACTTGAAAACAATGCAATGTGTTGGGTTTTTTTGGTTTTTTGTTGTTCAAATATGTTTTACATCTTTTTGAAAATATCTGAAGAGTGTACATTTCAGTGGTTATTTTTTTACGTATATGTTAACTGTTTACAATATATAATTTGATCGAGCATTTTTCTGTGATCTATTATTTTATCTTAACTTTATCATCAAATGCAGATATATCTATTAAACAAAATAGACAACCTTCACATTCCCCATGACGTCATTTTTGTGACGTCAGAGTGCGTTTTACAGGATACCATCCAAACCAAATATAAAAGAAACTGAATAAAGTAATTGTATAATATGTAAGTGAAACAATTTTCGTTTCCTGACTCAGATTTTTTCATCCTAAGAGTACACTCGCCCTTTTCATTGTTTCCAATCGCGGTATTTACAAATTATTACCCAATTCCAAAAGGTCCGATACTGAGATGGGCACCAACAAAATGGTTTGTTTGATTTTGTCATATCACATTAGGCTGCGTTTTATCATTCCACAGTACAGCTTATTGGCGTGTTATTTCTCTTGGCAGTTTACGTGTGTATTCAAATTACAGTCCATTTATAATCAACTTACTTTAGTCAAAACGTTTGATGGTAAATGGGAAACACTGCCGTACCCTCCTGACCAAGGTAAATCGCAGCCGCCATCTTGACCTGCATTTCGGTCGTTCTGGAGAAGTGAATAGTATTTGTTTGCACCACTTTAGCTGTTCACGTGCAATTTGTGTGCATGTGTTTGTATAGGCTGTTGAGGAGTTGGTCATGATGGGAATTTAGCTGAGCGGGTATGTCAGAAATGTGCATTTGCATGCAATTTGATTGTTTTCCATGCACTTGAGCTGAGTACAAAAAGGGGACTTCCTTTGTTCAGCGCTGCCGATACGATCACATATTTTCACTTTTTCTGCTTATTTTACAAAGGTCCATATGTCACACGTAAGTCAGGGGGATGGATACAGTGGGTGACAAGAGAAACACTTTGGATGAAGCATTAGATTTAGCTGACAGTGTGTTGAACAATTCTGCTCTTACCACTATATCTCTCGGTGACAGCGGCCCGTCAGTCAGCTGTGGAGGTTCTCCAGCTGATCCAATTGCAGGTTCAACGATCGCAACAACTTCAGGGGTTTCTCCCATACTTGACTGTCCCTCTACCACGTCTCAAAGAATCACGCTGGAAGGTAAATATATCTTGTCCTATATCGTAGTTACATCATATCAATTTACTTACTTCACGTGCACCTGTATTGCTAACTACTATATTGCATGGACTCCACGGTTTACTGTTAGTCTTGCGCTGAACAGATATGATGGCATGAAATGAACTATTAAATCTCTGTCTATTGTCTTGTCTAATCTCTGTGATGTTCCGGTGCTGTTAAGTTCTTATAGGAATATTTCTTCAAGCATTTTCAGGTATATTTTTGGATGAGCATATTTGAGATTTTACTGTGGCTAAAGGCAGAGACAATATAATAAAGGCAGAGACAATATAATAATCTATTATATGGTCTCTTCTAAAGGATAGCATGTGACAGTTTCATTATACCGTGAACGATATCAATCTTTGTAACAACTGATGTTCTATTGAGTGTTTATGCTTGCAAATTATTGCGTATGACTCATGAAATTGTATTGACATTTATACCATCCAATCTTACAGCACATTTCATGACCCATATCTAAATGTCCTTTCATTTTACTAAGCAAGAGAGTAATGAAATATATCCTCCGCCACCATTCATGACAGTAAGGAAGTTAACCAATGGTGTTTAACATCAGGGAAAACATTCTTCCAATGTTAATACCATAGGCAGGTTACCAGGTGTTAATCATTTGTTTCTGTCAGATTTGAGTTTACTCCAAGTGTCGTTTCGTTCAAGAGACATCTAACAGAATCTCAGATTGTAAAGGAATATAAATTCTGTGAATATATGAATAGTGTCATCATTTATTTACACCCGCTTGTTTGTTTGATGATGATGATGATTTGGAGATTTAACATGCACTTTCTGACATAATGCATATTTTGCACACTGGCCGGCCAGGCTCTTTAGTGTTTTATCGAAAGGGGTGTGATTTGACTGAAAGACATGGCAACCTGATGGGGAGTTACGGATGCATAACTAAGTTTGTATTAGAATTGTGAATTTGGAAATTTGTTGGAAGTTGTAGATGGGATGAACTACAGGATGGTTTGGTTGGTACTTGTTTTGTATGGGTTTTTTATGTTTGTGTAGCAGGGCGTGGAGTCATCCCACAGATGACATCCTTACCTTCTCAGCTTGCTGATGGGGTTAACCTCTTTGGTCATGTGAACAAGGTGTCCAACTTTGGATTAGAAGGTCGTGGTTCGGAATCCCAGCACGGGACTCGAAAATTTTATGGCCGCTACATTTGCACTGGTTGGTTATGTGGGATTATATGGGGCCTAGAAGGCCAGTTTTTGATAAGAAATATACCCATGGCTCGGATGGTTTGGGTGTTATTTAGTGGGCTTAGGAGTGTTTGTACTGTTAGGCGTGTTTGTGTCTAGTGAACTCTGGAGTACCATTCTGTGTTGTTGGTAGTGTATCCAATGTAGTAGGACACCCAGTTGTTTGTTCAGTAGCATGTTTAATTTAGTATGCTGTGCGGTAGGCATGGCTTCGTGGTTCTTGCGGGGGCGGTGGGGTAGCCTAGTGGTTAAAGCGTTGGCTCGTCACGCCGAGGATCCGGGTTCGATTCCCCACATGGGCACAATGTGTTAAGCCCATTTCTGGTGTCCCCCGCCGTGATATTGCTGGAATATTGCTAAAAGCGGCGTAAAACTAAACTCAGTCAGTCAGTCGTGGTTCTTGCATTGTTGATCTTGCACTTTTATTTCATAACATTGTCACTCCACCCCATTGAGAGTAAAAGCTGTTAATATTTTGACATAATTAATATTTACACTGTTGTCATTGTCAGTTGTTGAGTTAAAACATGTTAAAGTTTCAAAGCATTCATTACATTGGCAAACTCTATGTAACTCATAACATTATGTTTGCAATAAATTAATTTCCCCCAAATACACTTTCACGTCTAAACACAATTCCTCACTGCCCACCCCTCATGTACATACTGCGTTTGAGAAACATGTTTGCAATAAAATAATTTCTGAAATACACTTTCATGTTTAAACACAATTCAGCAACGCCCACCCCTCATGTACATACTGCATTTGATAAACAATGTCTTTCAACAGTAAATGTGCACAGTAGCCTATTCAGGCCCAAACTAGGTCGTGCTGCATTCCACTTGCGATGAACGGACTTGTCAGCACTGTCTAGTGTCTCCTGCTCGTTATTACTGTAAACCTTTAGATAGACAGCTTGCATTTGAGGGTTGTAAATATAACTGAACAACTACCATCGTATTGCGACATTTAAGAAGTAGTAAACCAAATGAGACGTCATTAAAAGATACAAATACATTTAATATTGATTCAGTTAGTGATGTTCTGATGATCGAAAATAATCGATCGAAAGAAGATTAAAAAATGATTATCGATTGTAAAAAACATATTTTTGATTAATCAGAATTTTGTTGTTTTTGTATAACACCCTTGAATGAAGTAAACTAACCATCACATTTGACGAATATTCACGAACAAACATGCGCTCAACAGCGTAAAGCGATGCACATTGTAAAATTGTAACCACTTTTATTGTTTAATTACAATTCCATTGTCTTTCTTGCATGTGTGCATTTCATTGCATTACATCATGAGGTATAAAAACAACAACATTAATTAGAAAAAAAACTTGGGAAAAACCGTTAAAATTGGTGATTACATTAAAAATGTATATATTTCGATTATAATCGATAATCGTTCACCACAATCCTCCAATAATCGATAGTGGATTTAGTTTCCGATTCCCAACACTAGATTCAATCACCTGTCACTCCCATTGCCTGTACGAAAAACAAGTCCCCTCTCATTATTGCGGTAAACTTTCCAACAAATGTCTTGTAAACAAGGTTCAAATAATACTGAACAAGGAAATGTCCAGAACTATTAGCGCTATTAGATAATATGTGGCATGTTATAAGAAATTGTTTTGAAATTTCAAAATCCATATAAATGACCATTATTCACAAGATGATGTTTCAGTTACCTTTATGTCCCTTCAGACATGTCTGAAAACCTTTCCAATTAAACCATGGTGTCATGGCAACCAATGAATAATAATTCTTAGAGCCTGAAATGTAAGCGTTAGTGTCAGTAAATTTGAAAAAGCCCAATGAACAGAGTTTCAAGTATTTTTAATTGCAAATGATCCTGATTGACACACTTGTATCTTTGTCAGCATGACAAATGCACCTTTGACAACAAACCTAAATACATTTCTATCTCTGAAGATATGGTGAAGGGAAATCGAAAAAAAAGCATCAGGAAAGAAAGAATCGGGAAAAAAGATCAATTTTTGCTAGGAAAATAAGAAACAGGAAAAAAAGCATTGGAAAAAAAAGAATCAATTTTTGCTAGGAAAAAGAACCTATTTCACTGCACATGTGCTATGAGGGTACTGTTATGAGTGCAGCCCAGCCCAGCTGTTGAAACCACTTTTCCCCCAAGCGCTGGGGGAAAATTAGTGAATCATTTGAACTCCTATTTCACGCGGTTTTTTATCGCATTATTTTTCAACTTTATAAGTTGAATTTGCATTTTTGATGATTTGTTTCGGTAAGTCCATACCAAAAGGTATCAGAATCTGCAAAGTTGTGTTTTACGTTGCATGTGACCTTTAAGTAAGCCATGTGTACATTAAATGTAACCACATCAGTCCTGAAATATTGAATGTATTGTTATTTTGAGTGCATGTCAATGTACCCTACTTATGCAGATTGATGCTCATGATCTCAATCACTAGGTTGTAATGCTGAGACGTGACTGTTTATAGCTTGTCATATAGATGTAATATTTGTTAGTGTGGTGTTCAACAGAAACAATCAAATCAAACACACTCAGCTTACTCATGATGAGAAACAATCTACACTATATTTATGAAAAGTTATGTTTCCATGATTGTTGTGCTGATAGAGGTTTGCTATAAGATTGAGATTTTGCATACACGTTGAAAAACTTCAATCCATGTTACAGGGCCTGATGTAAGCATTTAGAACTTGCACTGAGTGAGTTTTACGCCACACTCAGTAATAAAACTCACCGCGGCGGCGGTCTGTATATAATCAAGTCTGGAACAGACAATCCAGTGATCAACAGCATGAGCATCGATCTACACAGTTGGGATACGATGACATGTGTCAACCAAGTCAGCAAGCTTGACCCATTAGCCACTTCTTATGACAAGCATGGGCTACTGGAAGATCAATTCTAACGCAGATCTTCACAGGTCAGAACTTGCACTGGTGCAACCTGAAACTGAAAAATGCAAAGTGATGGTTATTCCAACAAGTATCCATTAATATTTTCCTGTTAAAAATAACAAAGACTTTGAACAAATACTGACTCAAGATCAATTCTAACGCAGATCTTCACAGGTCAAAACTTGCACTGGTGCAACCTGAAACTGAAAAATGCAAACTGATGGTTATTCCAACAAGCACCCATTAATATTTTCCTGTTCAAAGAACAGAGACTTTAGACTCTATACTGACTTGGTGCAGTGACTTTTGTGACTACAGGACAGTGTCAGAATGACTGTGACTGTTCATGTGATGAAATGTTATTAAGTAAGATAGAACGAACCTGTCAGTCCCAGAATAATTTCTTATCATGTTCCATGTCATCAATACAAGAACTCAAGCTTAATTTTATATAAGGGGCGGTGGGGTAGCCTAGTGGTTAAAGCGTTGGCTCGTCACGAAAACCCGGGTTCGAATCCCCACATGGGTTCAATGTGTGAAGCCCATTTCTGGTGTCCCCCGCCGTGATGTTGCTGGAATATTGCTAAAAGCTGCGTAAAACCAAGCTCAGTCAGTAATTTTATATAAGCAGCAGATGGAACCTGCTTTGTCAGGTGAAGCCAGGTTATTACCTCAGGTTGCACTACAGGAAAGTAGGTTTCATTTCCTTATATCAAGCCCTTGTTTAACATATGTAGTGAATGTGTTGGATAGAATGTCACACCATCAAGAACCCAGGCATATTTGAGCTTGAACAAATTAATTATTCATGAACAATATATGTTTGAGG